CCAAAACCGGACCGTCCCGCGACCGCCGAACCGAACCGGCATAACCGACCCGGACTGGCAAAACCGGACCGACCAAAACCGGACCGGCGCCGAAATCGAACCGCTGCAACCGAACCGGCCCGCCGCCGAACCGGCCCGAACCGGCCCGAACCGGACACTTCCTGCAGCAGTTACGTCGCGACCCCGAAGACCAGCCCACGCAACGCACTACCTCTAATAGATGATCTGCCGGCTGGTCTTCACTGCCCAGTAGTCGCGCTGGTCGAAGACCTTCGCCGCAAACTCGAAGACTACCTGAGATGCGCGGCGCGTCCAGCGCAGCGCCTTCAGCATCTGCCATGTCACCCCTCGGCGGGGTCGCCGCGATCGGCTCGCCCAGAAGCAGGTCGGCGCGACGCGACAACGCCGTTGGGCCCCGGCACCGCGGTCCTGTCGCTGAAACCCGGACGTCTGATAGAGGCAACTCGCGAGACGATCAATTTGGCGAACTTCCGCGAGGCGCGGCCGCGGGCGCGCCAAGCTGGTCACACGTGCAAATCCACGGCCGCGCCGCGCGAGCGGACGGTAGCCCCGCCGTCCCCCGCGCGGTTCTCGTCGAGCCACGTGCCGCGCAAATTTATGATTCCAGCGATATTCATCGGCTCGCTCGAGCGCGCAGGAGCCTGTCAATGACGTTTTGGCGCCGCCGCGCGCGGGCCGCGCGCGCGGGCTCGGGGCCGGGCGCCTCGCCTGCTTCGCGGCCCCCCACGCCTCGCGCGCCTGTGCCAAGCGTCGCCGCGCAGGCCGCGGACGCCGCGGGGCCCCAGGCCGCCGCGAGAAACGGCTGGCCGCGGGCGCGCGCGGCGCCAATCGCGCGCCCCCCCTAAGATGCGGGCCCCGCGACATCAGCGCGACCACTCTCGAAGAGCTTGCCCCTCTTCTGGATGCTCGGGACCTCCTCGCGCTCGCGCTTCGCGTCGGCGAAAGCGGCGCCCATCTCGGCCGGGGCGGCGGCAGCTGCGTCCGCGGCGGGAACTGCCATCTCAGCGCCAAGGGCTGCGCCGGCAGACCCTCGAGCGACGGGGCCCCTGTATTTCCGGCGGCCAAGGGGGGCGCCGCGACGTATACACCTCCGGGCGCCCCCGAGGAGGCGAAGCCGCCTCGACCTGCAACGGCCGCCATCTGTCCCTCGGACCACGAGGAAGAAGATGACTACCATGATGCGCTGTCCTCGCTGATCTTGGCGCAGCTAGGCCACGGGGACCGCGGCCCGCAACGGCGCCCCGCATCGGGCGCGCGCGCCCGCCCCCGCGCCCCGAATCGACGCGCCGAAGCCCGGCGCCAACGCCAAGATCCCCTCTGGAGGAACAAAACATAATCTTTCTCGAATGCCCCGCCTGTCCCGCGTCGACGAACGCCAGCTCTGCGCGCGCGAGGGCAACGCGGGCTTTCTCTATCTCCTCCAATAAACCATGGGGCCCCTATGGGCCGCTCGAGGCCAGCGGGGGGCCTGTCGCCGCAGGCTCAGGCACGGCGCGCCCGACTGGGCGGCGAGGCCAATGCGTCTCCGCCGGCGGCGCGGAGCATCTCGCGCTCCGGCGCGAGGGCGACAGTCGCAGTTTGCGGCCGCCGCCTTCCACGCGCTCGCCAACTGCCCCCCCGTCGCCCAGGACGTAGGTGACATTCTTGCAGGAGCTCTTAATGCGCTCACTCAGCGCACTCGCCATGGGGAAGAGACCCCAACAAGAAGGCACCGCGGGCCCGTCGGCGGCGCCACCCACCGGGCACGCCGCACGCGCAGTAGGACGAGCTCGACGCGGCCATGGCCCACCGCAGCAATCATGCCAACATTCTGGGATCATGCGGGTCGCAGGTGGATCGCTCGCGGCGCGCCTGGCTGCGGGTTGGGCGTTGCGCAAGAGCCCTGAAAGAAAACAGAGGGCGGCGTGGGTTGAACCGTCGGCGCGGAGCCTAGATCCATGATGGCGGCGCCTGGGGGGCGAATGGAGTGGGCGCCGCGCGCTGGTGGCGCCCCGTGCCGCATTGGCCAGGGGGGCATCGGGTCTGCCGCGTTCGCGTGCTCCGTCGCGGCCTTGACGTCGGCCCCAAGCTGCCTGCGTTCGCCCGTGACGTGGTTGGGCCTCCCGCGGCGGCGGCAGTCCTCGCCCGCGGCGGGCTCGGCAATGTTCCCTGACTTGGCTTCGCCTTTGGGTTCCTTGCCTGTTATTTCGGAGTCCTTCCCCTTGCCTGCGGAGGAAGTCTTGCCCTCGCCGTGTTTGACGGTTCCGACCGCCATAGGGCCGTCGACGTCGTGGGCCCGCGTCCTCCAGGCCCCGGCGAAGATCGGGGTCGCCGCTCGCAGCCGCCAGCGCGCGCCCAACCTGGCGGCGTTGAGTTCAGGGTGGCCCAGGACCTTCACAACCAGCATCCCGCCGAGAAAGACGGTGATCCTTACGTCCTGGTCCAAGACCTGGCCGCTCGAGACCTCGTGGCGCCGCGCGTTCCTCCTGGGGCCCTCGATCTCCAACGCCAGGTCGCTGCTGGGGTTCACCCCGACCCCCCTCCGCAGGAGGGCGCGGAGTTCGGCGCCGCGGCGAACTCGCGCGTCGGGCCCGCGCCCCCAGCAGGAGCGCCGCCAGGCCCCCGCGCCGTCGCCCTGCCCCGCGCCGCCGATCAGACGACGGGCGCCGCCCGCGGTCAGCATCGCCAGCATTCGGCACACCTGGCACCTCGACGCGCATGTGACCCCAGGCCCCTCTAGATCGCAAGCGCCCGCGACCTGGCCGCCCATCGCCTTCGCCCAGCGGGCCAGTTCACTCGCACATGCGTGCGCGGTGCGAGCAAGCGCTTCGAAAACGAGGCGGGCCTGCCTCCATGGCCTGCGCGGGCCCGAGAAACTCGCCGGCTTCCCTGGCGTCCGTGCGCCCGCGGTCGTGCCGCCAAAATGCCCCGCTAGCGCCGGCTGCGGCGCTGCCGCGGGCGCGCCCCGCAGGTGCGCGAACTCGGCCTGCGCGGCCCGCGCGCCCTGCTCCGCGGCCTGCCCGCGCTGCCGCTGCCGATGGAACTCATGCAGTGACTCTTGTTGCCTCGCCCCCATGACCTGCAGCCTCTGCGCCAGCTCCCCCCGAATGCGCTCTTGCGCGGCGGGCTCGAGCCAGCTTCGAGCGCCCGCCGCGCTTTCAAGGCGCGCGGTGCCGCGGGCCGGGGGGGGGGGGGGGTGCCGCGGGTCGCGTGGTCTCACCAGCCCCGGGGCTAACAACTGCTTCGTCGGCTCCCCAGCGCGAGGCCGCCCGCTGCCAAAATAGGGCCGCGGGATCCAACCGCGGGCTCCACGACCATGCGCGAATACGAAAGACGCGGGAGTGAGCACAATGTGGGAAGGCGAGCGTGTTCTTATTGGGCGTTTCGATAATGGGCGGAAGGGCAGACAGGGGGGGGGTAGCTCCAGACCTCTGTTCAGTGCGAAAGCTTGGAACCGTGTGTGCTTTGGGGGAGACCCACCTGCTCGAAACAGGCGTCAGAAAACAACCAAGATCCACTCCATGGGAGGGGGGGAATGGGGGTGCGAGGGCCCGCGCCGATCGGCAAAACAATGAGTATAAAACGATCGCAAGAAAAATTGAGGGCGGTTTTTCCTCGCTCGGACGCTTGAGCCAATCGCCGGTGGGCGCCCAGCACGTCAGACGCCACGCTTGGGGAGCAGCATGGTTCTACTTTGTTGCGTCTCATGTCGCTGCCTGCTGCATACTGCTATGCAGCAGACTTGCATCATGCTTCAGGCTACTAAGATAAGTTCCAGGCTATGTAATTCACCAGTTGGTCGGTCATTTAGAGAAACCAAAACGGGCCTACGAGGGAATCGTGAAGGGAAATTCGCACTGGCATATAGCATACTCTGATTGCGAAGGCACCCTGCTTCTGATGGCCTTTTGGTTCATCGCATGCGACGTGCGGGTGGTTCTTGTCGCTGGGCTGGTATTCGCGGTGGGTGGTCGGCAAGCAATGTTGGTGCGCTTGGTTTGTAGGTGCCATTTTGTCTTGGGGAAATCACCGAAAAACCTCGACCAACGACGTGAGATCCGTTTTCCAGGTTGCCGTGTGTCCGAACGGGCTTGGGCGCCTCGAGGTGTCGCGTGGGCTGGGCAGGCAGCACCATTCCGTTTGATTCTTACTTCGTCAGCGGTTCAATTCCCATTATTATTACTATTATTGTTACTATTATTAGAAATATTAGTATCAGTCTTATTATTACTATCCTCATTATTATGGGGATCCGTGGGCCGACGATTGGGGAAGGCCCCCCCCCCCGAAACATGGCGCCAATGCCTCCTGGTTTGGCGACGGAGCGCACCAAGTTTCATGGACGGTATGCAAAAAGGGCCCGCCGCTGGTCCCCGCGCTTGAATTCGTGGCGGCACTTCCTCCACAATTCCTCCTCTTCTTCTCTTCGGAAGAGGACCAGTTGAGACATCGGCGGCTTTCCCGCGCGGCCCAGATCCACTCGAAACCGATCCCCGGACCCCAACAGGGAACCATCCTGGCAAATTTTCGACGCGGATCCAGCCGTGCGACGAAAGCCGCTGGGAGGCCCAAACATATACAATCACACAAGAGAGTGCCACCGTTGTCTCGACTGGCCCTCCTCCCCCTTCCGATCCCGCTCCCAGAGAGGTCGACGTGCTGGATACCAGACAAGCGCGGTCCACTCCTCGCAGGGCAGCTACTCGCAAATGGATATGCCACGGGGGATTTACGATCCACCACATCGAGGCGAGCATGTGGGCGAAGATCAAAAATGCGTTTTACGCGGACTGGCATAGCGGCCTTACGCCGCGTTTTCCGCGGGCCGCCAGCGCGGCACACCTCGTGGGGAACGATGGCGCTTACGCGCGACCTTACGCGGGCAGCTTACGCGCTTACATGTTTGATACGTCGCTCATGTGCTTCGGACGTTTGCGAGTAGACACTTTGCGATCAGTGGAACGCGCTCGGCGAGATACCCCCCTCTTGCCCAGGCTTGCCTGTTCCTCCTCCTCCGCGCCCGGCCGGTAGGCGAGCATGCGGCCGCGGCAGCCTCGGAAGACATTAGCAAGGGTGCGCGCGTCCTCCTCCCCATTCCCGCTCCTCTCCCCCCTCTATCACCACCACCTCCTCATCCCCTCCTCCTCCTTCACCTCCTCCTCTTTATCATTATCATCCTCCTCCTCCTCCTTCTCCTCCTCCTCCTCATCATCATCACCATCGCCATCATTATCCACACCCGCATCCTCATCCTCGTCCTCTTCACCTCCGTCATCCCAGGACGCGCACAAGAGTCTCCCAAGAGGGCTGGCAAGGCTTTTTTAGTCAGCGGCCGCAGGCGAGCGCGCCAGCGGCGAGTCACTGGCAAGGTTACGCGAAGCGTCTAGAAGCGCACTCCATCTTTGAAACTGTTGCAAGCTTTACAAACAGATGCACACGGCGCTAACGCGAGAACCACGTTTTAGACACGGCAGGCCCTCAAACCATACTAACTGCGCAAATATTTGAAACGAATGCGCGCGGCGCAAAGACAAGATTCACATTGTGAAAGCGATCCGCATTCCATCAGTGACACAATTGCACATTGTCGATACGAATGCGCGCGGTGCTAAAGCAATAACCAAATGTCGAAAATGAACTCACCTCGATCCGTAACTTTGTTGCGAACGTTGCAAACGCATGTGCACGACGTGAAGGCGAGACCCGCATGTTGAAACAGTCCGTCCTCGATCCGTAAAGCTGATGTACAAGTTTAAACATCATGCGGGCGGCGCTAAGGCGAGAGCAGCATTTTGAAAACTGACCGCCCTCCATCGGTGAAATCCCAAGCGTCAGGATCACACATGGTGAGGAAGTCTGAGGCGAAACGCCTGGACCGCCCTACCGACGCGCCTCGGGCTGCGACAGGGAGGAGTTCTGCATACAACGAAAAGCGATGGAGGAGGAGGAGGAGGAGGAGGAGGAGGAGGAGGAGGAGCAGGAGGAGGTGGAGGAGGAGGAAAGGGGGAAAAGCATCCTCCTTTTACGCCTCCTCTTCCTGCCCCGCCTGCTGCTGTTCGCCCTCCTCCTCCTGGTCACCCCCCTCCTCCACCAGAAATCATCCCCCCCAGACGCGTTCTGCGGTCAGGTTCGATCCTGACAATGTGTAAACCCGGAGGGAGCCAAACGCCCCTCACACAAAGGCTCGGGGCCGCCGCGCCAACGGGGCCCGACAGAGCGAGGAAGGAGCGCAGGCCTCCTTTGAGGTGCTGCACCACGGGCAGCACAAACCCACCGAAGGAGGGTGGCGCACATGCCCCCCCAGCCCCGCCTGCGCCAAGGAGCACTAGTTCCCCCGCGTCCCCGTGGGGGGCACGCCGCGCGTGTTGCCGCGCACGGGAAGACCACGAAGGGCTGGGCAGCACACGCCTGTGAGCCTTGCCTGGGCCAAGCAGGCCGACCCCCCCGACCACACAGTGTCCCCGCAGCGCGACGGGACGGCCAATACAGCGGTCAGAGCCTGCCATCGCACAAGCAAAAACAGTGCAGGCCGACGCAGACCAGAGAACCGATCCGCGCTGACCCAGGAACGGGTGCCTCCGCAGCCCCAGAGGCTGGGTCAGCGATGGGCCCGAAGGACACGAGAGGCACGAGACGGCAGACCCTGCCACAGCGGGCCCACCACTGGAGTAAAAGCGTGCCGCCCCAGACCCATCAGGGCACCGACACTCCTGGCCCGCCGCGCCGCCCCCACACAGGCGACGCCTTGGCGGAATTCAGTTCCATGGGGTCCCCGGCGTGCCGCCCACACGCCGAAGCACCCCTCCATGGGACATCCCTCACCATCCCCCTCCACCTCCTCCTTCTCTCGCCCGCACAACGAACATGATATTCCCAGTGGCTGTGTGTTTACATCCCGTGCAATGTTTGGTGAAGCAGGCAATTTTCTCTTGGAGCCCTCCTTCCCCACCTTAGACCACGGCGGCGCTTACTCTGGCAAGTTTCAGAATATCCAGGACCCTGTCCAGATTGCCTTCCAGGAGCAAGGGAAGTGCATCAAGGAGGTCAGCTATGGGCTATGGGAGGGAGAAGCTACTCGGGAAAAACATCGCGACTCTGGGCGACATTTCGGAGCACTTGGGTACCTTATCAGGCGGGGGGCAGAACAACGAAGCTGACAACTCCGCCGACCCTGTGTCGGCGTGTGTGAGGGGCTTGTCGTTCGTTCGTCGTCTCCGTCGTCTCCTGTCCCTGCGCCCACCCTTTCCCTGGGTCAATCGTCTCCTGTCCCTGCGCTCCCCCTTTCCCTGGGCCACTCCTCCCCTTTCCCCCTCTTCCCTGGGCCCGTCGCTGTTCCCCCCCTGCTTTTCCAGGGCATCCCCCTCGGGCAACGTTGTCACGAACGAGTTTCTTTATGATCGGCGGTGGCGGGCGTCATAGGGTCGGCGACGATGGGCGTCATGGGGGGGGCGACAAGGGGGGGTATGACGTAACGCCCCCCCCCCGCCGTGTGGCTCTGGCACCGCAGCCGCGCCTGCGCCTGCGACGCGACGAGCGACGAGCGACGAGCGACGAGCGACAAGCGACGAGCGACGACGATGACGACGACGACGACGACGACGACGCGAGCAGCATGTAGGTGGCGATATGTCCCATTGCGCCTGTGTGCACCTTAACGCTCGCGTGCACCACAGCGCGCGTGTATACCACATCGCCTGCGTACACCGCAACAACCGTGTGCAACGCAGCGACCGTGTACACCACAGTGCTCGCGTACTCTACAGCGCCGGTGTACATGTGTACACCGCAACTACCATGTGCAACGCAGCGCCTGTGTACACCATAGTGCTTGCGTGCACCGCAGCGCCTGTGCACGCCACAGCGCGCGTCTACACCACAGCATCCGCTTGCAACGCAGCGCTGGTGTACACCATAACGTGTCCGTGCATAGGACCGGTAGAAGGAGCATGTACGTGAGGACCTGCTGCGGACAGCTAGGCGCCACGCCAGGAAAGTGCTGATAATCGAACGCGACGTTTTTTCCTCCTCCCTCCTCCTCCACCTCCACCACCGCCTCCTCCTCCTCCCTCCTTACCCCTTGTCGTGCGGGTTGGCGCTACAGCGCACGTGCGCATCTCAGCGCGCACCGCAGAATTGTCGATTGAATCGGTCCACTTGGTGGTTTTCGGACGGCCAAGTTAGCTGGAGCCTCCTGGACGCAGATGGGAGGAGTTAGGGTGATGCACGGTGATGCGGGCGGATTCAGGAGGCCTCGTAGATTCCAGCGGCGCTCTTTTGTCAATAAGGATTAAGTTTATATGTTTTCAGTGGAATCCACAAACGCTCCATTTTGTCATGAAGATTCGTTCTAACATTCTATATGCAACAGTGGTGCCGTGTTGCACACGGTTGCTGTGGTGCACACAGGCGCCGTGGTGTACACAAGCACTGCAATGCACGCAGGCATTATGGTGTTCACTGGTGCTGTGTTGCACACGGCTGATGTGGTATACGCAAGCGCTGTGGTGTGCACAAGAGCTGCTGTGCCCGCAGGCACGGCGGCACAAACTGGGGTTGTGTTGCACGTGGCTGTTCCCCCTAGATAATTGCCGTCATCGGCTCGGAAAAAACAGGCTTCAGTCGCGTCCGCTCGCACGACGACTATGAGCGACGAGCGACGAGCGACAAGCCACGAGCGACGACGACGACGACGACGACGACGACGACGACGACGACGACGACGACGACGACGACGACTGCGGACCAAACTCTTATGCGGATTCCTGCGCGGATGAAAATGCGCACGGCGGCAGTGCCTGGAGCGCACTGGGGGGGTGAGCGTTACGTCGTAGGGGGGGGGGGAGCGGGGGCCATGACGCCCGCCATGCCCCAAGCAATAAAGAAACGGGCTCCATTGAGTCGAAAGGAAGCCCCTTCCCTTTGATCCCTTCCCTGCCGGGGGGGGAGTCCCGGGGGGGGTCCCAAGGGGGCTCCCGCGTCAGATACGACTCTCCCCCTGGGGGTCCGGGGCCCACACAAAGCCTCAGACGGGCCAAGAGCCGAGGCATTCTACCACGCACTCTCCTCCCTCCCCCCTCCTCCCTCCGTCCTCATCTCTCCTCTTTCCTCCGTCCACCTCCAGAACCGAATCGGCCTCCTGGACGCTCGGCCACGGGACATCCCAAGACCCAGAATTCCAAGGTCCCCGGGACCCTCCAGGACCCAGCCCCGAGGACCTCCTCCCAGGACCCAGCACCAGGAACCAGCCCCCAAAAAAGTCTAGGACTCCCAGCCCCAGGCCCTGCTCGCCTCGTCCTGCTCCTATTCATTCCCCCCTCTCCTCCTCCTCCTCCTCCTCCTCCTCCTCCTCCTCCTTCTCCGCCTTCTCCTCCTCCTCCACTTCCTCCTCCTCCTGTTCCCCTCCTCCTCCTCCTCCCACTCCTCGTCCTCCTCCTCCTCCTCCTCGTCGTCCTCCTCCTCCTCCTCCTCCGCCTCCTCCTCCTCATCCCCCCTCCTGCTCCCTGACGTCCTCCGACTCCTGCTCCTCAACGTCCTTGTCCTGCTCCTCGTCTCCGTCTGCAGGGTCGGCGGCACCGGCCGTAGACCTTCGCAATATTGGAGGTCATGGTTGCTTGATGGTTCGGAGTCTGGGGCTAGGAAAGTGGTTTGGTGACGCGTGAGGTTTACCCCGTGGGCTCCGTACTCTACCTGATCATGTAATTGCGTCAACCTATCTGCCCCCCTGGAGCACGCAACAAGCGCGGCGGAAATCAATCAGCAACGAGATCAAGAAGACACTCCAGCGAAAGACGAATAACCAAAGGGCCCTGCGCATTGGTCGAGTTCTACGCGACTTCAAGGGCATCAGGGAGATCGCAATCCGAGCGGCAAGAAGAAACAGCAGCACATTGCCAAGATTGTCGATTGTTTCGGAGCCCCCAAAGACACTAAAGAAGACGCGGCAGAGGTGTTTGCGTCGTTGTGTGCCAGGCCGACTACCCGAAGGCGAGGTGCAGAGTTTCACGATAGAGCTTACGAATGCTTTGGGGACAATGAAGGACGGCAAATGCCGAG